GTGATAGTAAGAAAATTTTCTTTGGAGGTCGTATTCATCGTTGTGTCGTCGAACACTATGAACGCAAGCATCCTAGACGTTTTACTTCTCTTAGCACTTTAGGGTAGCCATGAAAACAACTGCTACTTATGATTGATATTTTGACACATAATTTTCACGAATAGACTCTTGCATAAAAATCTATGAGAAACAAAATCGACATTGATGACGTACTGAACTTGAACACTGAATTGCTTCTTTGTTTCTATTAGTTTGAATGCTTTGAAGAGAAAGTTAAGGTTTGTCAACAATAACTTTGTCTTGAAACATATTTTTAAAGCCAAAAATTTGTAACAACCAGGATTTTTGTTTCATATATTTCAAAACAACTTATGTCATCGAGTAAAAAACTACTAAAGCCATTCGTATGTAGAAGATGTCTATAAAAACCGGGGAATTCGAAGCCTATGTGTTGTTGAAGGTGCAGTCTTCCAAAATATGAAATTTCTTTTTTCACGTTATAAATTACCTACACTTCGATTTTTTAAACGTGGTCTGTGAAGACCACGCATGAGAAAAGAAGAGGTAAGGCAGGAATTGGGAACACGTACTCCAAATTAACCCGAGTAGATTTTTTAAATTATTAGTTTTATTTAAAGTGTTTTGTCAGACGTTGCATGATGAGAATCTATCTGCTACGATTTAATACAATTAGAAATTTCCATATTCTTGCATGGTGAGTCGCGATGGGTTACGGGACATGCTATGTCATTCTTCAATATTATTAATCGTTCTCTACAACATGCTTAATAACCATCAAGTAAAAATTCCAAATATCCGGCGTGAACGAGGCGGAATGGCTATTAGTGTTCCTCTTGCAGACACATTCTTAACTAGGTTCTTTCCACCCCGCGTTGCTGCGGTGTAGCGGAAATCAGCCAACACTTTCATCCACTTACGCTGTACTGAAATATAAGGAAGAGACGCTCTGTAACCTAGCTCATAAAAGTGAATGTTGCGGTATCTTCGACAAATCTGTATACCACTGGTTCAATTGCTTCCAAATTTTGTACGAACACTTTTAAATAGTAAAAAGCAAACACGAGTTTTGCAGTCATAAAACATTACTTCAAATTTTGTTTCACCTACATCTGGGCGGCGCCTTTGCCGAGTGCTGCGCGGAGTCGGATGGGGCCAAATGGGGCGAGCAAAGACGATGGAGCGGAGTGGGCAGCAGATGTAATATAGTGGGTTATTAGTAGACATCGGATGGTAAGGCACTAAAAACTTACGTTTTACGCGCCTAAAAAGACACTAAATGTTTTTTAATGGGCACTTAAAAAGGCATTAAAAACTTAAAATTGGAGGATAAAAACAGGTATGTATTTCTCTTGACTTGCATAAAAAATAATCGTATAACAACAAAAATTACATGAGAGTATGGACTATTAATGAATCATTTGTGAATGAGAAACTTTGGCATCTTTACAGAATGACGTGTTCAGTCAAGACAATCACTAGAGATTCGTTACCAGTAGAAAATGTATGTGATTAGTAGAATGATTTAAACTTGTGTTTGTAACCATAAATAAAAAGAAATGTATATATTAATTTTAAAAAAGCATTAAAATATATCTAAAAAGGTACTTGTGCCAACAAAGACCAAAAGAAGGCAAAATATAAATTCTTCAGAATTTGTAGTTTTTCATAATTTATATACTAATTGCCTTCAAATATTTTTATTAGAATAAAATAGGCATTTTCCTAAACATCCGATTTTTCTATTGCATATTGCTGACTCGTGTTTGTTTCTTACTTTTGCAAATGTTATTCCTTTCAATATGCAATTTGGAAAAGAGCATAAAACAAATTAATGGTTCAAATTGTTCGGTAGGCCTTACATCCAGACGAAGGTATTTAGTAATGAGGATAGGTGGGTGCTTGAGTGGCGCTGCACGTGCAGGTGCATCTTTAGATCCGGCCGCCGGTGGCAGAGCGCTTGCGCGCAAACGCAAACGCAAGAGCGCGGTGGGTGCACGGGGGGGGGGGGCGTTGCGACAGCGAGCGCCTGCCTGCCGGGGGACGGGAAGGCAGGCGACGGCTGCCGCCGCAATGGAGCGGAGCGGGGAGGGATGGGATCAAGGTTTTTTGGTTTCACTGATCCCGGGCACGTCAACAAACAGGTGCGTTAGTCCCGTACGTGTGGTGCGTGTTCTTCCTCGGGATGTGGTGTTGGTCTTTCTAGCCGGATGACGAGATCCGGCGCCGACCTACCGTGAAGCCAGCGTGGTTTTCCCCAACCAGGTATCTCCCACCAGCGGGGCACCGCCCCAGCCGAGACAAGCTCTAAGCGGTCCCGACCGGTCTCCCGGCATGTGTGCTTGTGTAGTGCGTGTTAGTGTCAGTGTGTGTATGTAAGCAGAGAAGATAGAACAAGGAAGAGGAAGGAAAAATCGCGCGGGCCCGTGGCCCGTTTGATGCGGTACTGCTCCGACATTCGCCTGGTGATGATCAGAGAAGCCACGGAAACCTACAGATCAGAGCAGCCGACCGCTAGAATTCTGAGACTGAATACCGTGACTAGCTAACATGTTAGTGTCGGAAATCCTGGCACCGTCGGGACTCAAACTTAGGAACTCCCTGTCAGAGGGATTGCAGTGACATCAGTTGGTGTCCTGAGCCATCTTTCCCGGTGGGACGGGATCGAATGTTATAGAATGGAGTGGAATGGGTTTGGACATCACAGGATTGTGGAAGGTAGAGACGATACGTTTGGGATTAGGCCTAATAGGCCGAGTCTGACCGGAGCGAATGTGTTCTGAATGGAGCGGAGCGGGACTAGATTGAGCGAAGTGGGACTAGATATATTAGAGTGGGTCTAGATAGAGCGAAAGGAGTCTAAATAGAGCGCAGCGGGACTAGATAGATCGCAGTGGGACTAGATATATGGGATCGGGATTAGATAGAGCGGAGCTGGTCTGGTCTATCTAGAGCGGAGCAGATCTAGATAAAGCTGAGTGGGACTAGATAGAGCGGAGTGGTTGTAAATACAGCGAAGCAGTACTAGGTAGAGCTGAGAGGGACTAGATAGAGCGGAGCGGATGTAAATTTAGCGAAGCAGTACTAGGTAGAGCTGCGAGGAACTAGATGGAACGGGCAGAAGCTAGATGGAGCGCAAAGCGATTAGATTTGGCGGAGCAGGACGAGATAGGACCGATTGGGTAGGAGCGATTGGGCTGGAGGGACAGGAGCGTCTGGGACGAGTAGGGACGGGATGAAGCGAAGTTACGCGAGAGAGTGGTGTCGAGGGCGTTTTTTAAGAGCTGGGGAAGGGGGGCGGCGACGGCGATGCGAAGCTAGGTTGTTTTGTAGTTCAGACCTTCACCTTCAGTTGAGCAACTCGACACTGTCACGGCGCGCATGCTTGCATGTCGTTGCTTAGAACGTTGCATGCGGGCAGTTCCTGGTTTGGAACGTACAGCGCCTATCAAAGCTTGATTTACAATTATAAGAGTGTTGTTCAAAAGCGTTAGTAGGGGAATACAAATGAGCACTCTCCTTGGAATATGCAGTTTCCTTTAATGATGAGCTATTTTTTGCAGAAATGAACCATTATAACAAAATTTCTTATGTTCCCGACCCAAGTCTTGAGAATTGCGTGAAATGAGATTTTGGCAAAAACAAACAAACAAACAAACAAACAAACAAACAATGAAACAAGAGTTCAAAACAGAACTAAAACGTTATTTGCTTAGAAATACCGCTGGCAAAGGAAAACATAATATTTATAATGTTAGTGAAAGTTCTGGATGTCCACCAAAAATCATTCCTTTCTCTTAAAACTATAATACTCATTTATTCGCTAGGCCGTAAAGTTAGAGCTGGTACTTTGTTAAGGCTTAGAACGAATTTTATTTGTGAAGGTGCGCATTACTTCCAAGTTCTGTGATATTGGAAGTATTTTCATGCAAGGAGTCGCGGTAAGCACATGAAAATGGTAAATGTCCTATTACAAGATATGGAGGAAGCCAAATGAATAGCAAAACAAAAGAGGAGGAGCAAATGATTCGAAAAATTAGCAAATGTCTCGAAAGTATTATAAGAAAGAAAGGAAACAAAAATCTCTTGTCGCCGCAAATTCGGACAACCAATGCAGGTGTCTTTAACATTAGGGTTCAGCCGACGTTAAAATTAGTATTCATTTGATTGCGGAAATTATTTTGAGAAAAAAGTAGACCGCAACCCCGTTCGCTGTACATTCACTAATGGCGGAAAACCAGGAACGAAAGTTCAAGCAGAATAGATCATGGGGAACCCCAAGTTGACACAATTTAATTTTCTTCCCAACAGCCATTATTGGAGCTTGAAGAAAATAAGTGAAAGGAAATTGCATAAAACATCAATTGCAACATTCCTGTAACTAAAGTATGCCATAATGTAGGAGGTGACTATCATAGTTATTTATTGTCTGTTTTTCAAATCACTTGGTACATACAGAGAGATAGTGTCTCTATCTCTCTCTTTCTCTTCTCTCTGCCCTCCTTCCCCCTCTCTCTGTTTTTGTTAAATGTCAATAATCTTGATTTAGCTGTAAATTATGTCATTTAGAGCTGAATTTGTTATTCATTTGCTCCTCATTTGTTTTGCTATTCATTTGATTCCCGCTATATGTTGTAATAGGTAATTTACCATTTTCATGGGCTTACTGCGATTCCTTTTCTTACATGCAGATGCTTCCAATATCACAGAACTTCGAAGTAATGCGCACCTTCACAAATAAAACCCGTTCTAAGCCTTAATTTTAGCTTAATATCATTATATGCATACGAACGTCTCTTTTAGCTCATAGATAACCAAAGTTACATAGATCCCTCAAACTGAAAGCGTTCCACAACGATAAAAGTTTAATAAACGTTATACGAACCTTAAGTGACACGTTGAAGTCAGCGTTCGTTCAGTGGCAACAGATTCCTGGCTCCTTCAGCTCCTGTGGATCTCCCGGCACAGCCGCCTTCGCCGACCGCTGTAGCACCTGCGGCATCCGCGGAACTGTCAGCCGCGACGCTGCTCCCAGCGGCGGAGCTGCCTGCTGCCCGGCCTCGGCCCTCCCTCCGCCCTCGCCCTCGCCCTCGCCCTCGCCCCCGAGTCCTCCCGGCCACTGGCGGAATTTCCTCCTCCGAATCTGGCGCCGACGGAGTCGCCTTGACACGCCACGATCAGAGCCGCTCGCTGCGGTTTACGATAGTCCAATGTCTGCAGGAGTCCTGATTATGGACAATGCATTGCGCAATAAAAGAAATGTCGAGAAGTTTGAGCTTTGATTACATGAAGCAATAACTAGAAAACCTTAATATCGTTGGCAGACGTCTTGGAATGATGAATATGAAAATAAAAGACAGTTTTATTAGGTCATCAATTACAATATGTTCGCAATAATAGAATTACAATAGAATATGCAAGTATCACATAAAGGTTAGAGGACGAGGTTACCTCTTCTATTGTCGATGAGTTGCATGTGTGTTTAAAAAATACAATTAATGACAGGAACTGGATAGGTATAAAGATATTATTACTAATAGTCTGCACACAGAATACAATAATATATTGGTTGCAAACGAGTATTTTTCTGTTTTTCTTTCTCGTTTTTTAACGCCGAACGAAGGAGATACTCGTATTTCATTGTAGCCAAAACCGCGTTGTGGGAAGACTCCGAATGCAGTGGGAGTACGTATTTTGCATTTGACCAAGGCATGTACATGCGCGATACGACGAAAATGCAAAGGGAATTCCACGGTATTGCGTTGATGAGGTAAGCCCTTCTCTACTGCATGTGCATTATGTACACAGAGTTGAATCGAGAGGTATGATAAAAATATATAACTTATCACATTCTCACTAGTTTGTTGTTATTCTTGTTGTCCTATTCTGCGTTGTTTTTTGTCTGTTTGTAATTTCCGTAAAAGAATGAGCACGAGATAGATCTTTCAGCACATTAGTGAGGTCTCGTGACGTCATTGATAGGATATTCGCCTTCCATCACTAGGACCGAGACTGCATCCATGAGAATGTGTGGTGTACAAAGCGAGCATTCGGCATGCTTTCTAGATGTCCCTGTCATGTCTCATTCCACCGTTTATACATCGTTTATCTCCTCATTACAGCTATCATATATTCGTAATATCAACTTGCTTAAATCTCAATGACCTTAGAACCCCTAAACACCAATATTAGCCCGTTATTTCCTGTGATATACACGCATCCTTGAATGGAGGTGTAACGGAGGCCGAGGACGCCTGGACTAACCGCCTCCCCCCTGCGCCCCGCGACCATGTGGTTCGCACGAGTGGGTAGCACGCTGTTCAACCGGTCGTAAACGGCAGACATACCTCAGGGCAATATGCGTTGCTCCTGAAGTGTCTCTAAATGGGAAGTCCTAGGATTCGTGTGCTGTCGGTGCCGGATTTTCGGCCAGCTAAATAGAAAGGCAGCTGATTGGAGGAGATTTCTAACTGCTGACTGTTCTACTCGATAGTTTTGGGTTATTTTTCCGGTATACCAGGAGTATCCTAACAAACGGTTCTCACACTGCGAGCAAACTTTCCATCCTCAACTGTTTCCTCTCTTCTTATGTACACACACATACGCACACACTCTTGCATTTAATCGAACTACACCTCCACCCACGTTGGGACTCTACTCGGAAACGTAAAGCGCTGGAGCTGTGCTGCACTGACAAGAGATACCTGGAGAGGGTTACCCCGCAAGCGAACGTGATAAAACACGCACAACGTGTTATATTATGTCCCACACGTACGAAACTAACAACAATACAAGCTGAGTTGCCCGTGAACACAAAATAACTAATCAATCAACAGATAATTCACCAACTCCAAAATAATAGACTCGCGGTGTTTTCGCAGGTCAAAGAAACTGGTTTTGTCGAATAACACTTCTGGAAATGCTAATTTATTAACAATATACGTACATATCGACATTATATTATATCTAAAGGACATTGCAGTAAGTATTAAATAAGTAGGTCTGGGGGTCATAGGATTAGCGCATACGCGTTCCAACGGTGAGGCTCCAGTACATTCCCTGATTAAGCCTTTCCAAATTTGTGCTGGACAATATGAGGTTTTGGCAGATTTTTACTGACTCCCTACGTCTCATTTAACTATTTCTGCAACACCATTCACCCTTTCGTTGCTTATATCATCTTTTCAGAACATTATGACCCAGGGCCCTTAATGCCATCAATAACCTTTGAAGGGACGTCAAACCAAGTAAAGAAGTATTGAATAAAAATAACAGTGCTTGGATATTTGCGCTATTTTTAAAGAACGCTTCTCTAGATTGAAAAGAGAAAAAATAATTGACTCGTCTCTTTAGATGTTTGCACTTTAAGGTGGTACGCAATATAGTCAGACTTGATCTGGCTCGCATCATTTTTTTTAAGAATATAGAATAAAATAATCATTTTCACCGTAAATGAAACCAAATTAAACGCAATAACTATGCTATACTATTTTTTTGCTTAGATACCTTTCGCGCTTTTAGATAGCCTGATGAAAACCTTCTACGATGTGAGAGACTGAGGCAAATTTTCTCATAACTGATTTTAGCCTGAACTTGGAATGAACGTATTATATATTTTAATTAACAATGCATTAGATTAAAATCCAAAACATTGTTTTGATATTATGCAGAGTATTGAAAGAATGATATCCATGTGCACACGTAAACTACTGATGAGATATAAACAAAAACGAACATCTGTATAATTGTTCCCAACCCAAACCCTCTTTATCAATAACTCGCGTTGCAGAGTTTGGATTTACGTTTGCCAAGTCATCGAGAACTACTTTCTTCCTGCTAGACCCAAATAATGTTTCCCTCTTTGCCGACATATTGCCATTTCCTACCAAAACCTATTTTTTATTACCCAATTTTTTATATTTTCTACTCTCTCTCCATGTTGTTTGGTCGTATGTAGCACTCTCTAACAACTACAAATTTGTTCCAGTTTACTGCAGTTCTCGATAGTGCGGGTGTAACAGTAATAAGGTATCATAATTAACATGGTGAATGCCTCTCCTTAGTGTCACAATTTTAGATCACCCTTCTACTTGTGTCGACATTGGCAATAAAAAAATTGCTTATTAATTGTTGTTATGGCTGTCCGTATCAATTAATCATTTTATCATTGACTCAGTAAATGTTTATTGTTTTCTGTCAAACAGTCAAACGTTTTTTCGTGTGAAAAACAATATATTTTACTGCTGCAGTTCAAAAATCAATAAAGAAGCATTTTTAATACGTGTGTAGTCAAAGCTTCATTTATTTGTCGCAAGCCTGAAGTCGTTTTTTGCACGTCTATGTCAACATCCCAATGATCTCTCGCGGGCTGCTTAATTGTCGGTGATCGTCAACTTGTGCACAGCCTTCACCATTTCGCCCTTTCCCTTCAGAGCTTTATTCTCGCCTTCAACTACCCCTTTTCTCATCATAAACCATCTCAATGTCTGGCAGACCCAACTCGTCTGTTTGAGGCAGGGCGTGGGACGTTTTCCGTAGCAGTGCTGCGCCGGGTAAGATAGTAAAAATTGTTACGAAGAAAAATTGTCTCTTCTGACATCTAATCACTTCTTTTCAATTTTAAAACTCTACCATCACTCTTGCGCAAGTTAAACGTTATTACATTTTAATTTTTTTTATCAGGCTCGAATATTTTAAATAAAAGGCAATAAATATACCACCATTTGTAAATTTAAAAAATTCTATCGATAAACATACTAGCTACTAGAGAAGACTTTGGTAAATTTTTCATTGTTTCAATTTTGGTTCCAAATAAAAATTTAAACAAAATATTGTTAAAACAATTTCGAATAAGTTTGTTTTAATTATGTTATTTTTTCAAAATGTTTAGTGGTGATACAAGTAAAAAAAGTACCAAGGAAAGATCTGTACTTAAGAATTGGTACAGGTGTGTTTAGGAGTCGTTAAATAATATACTGTCAAAACCTACTTGTTCAGCAAACAACACTCGATATGAGAATCAAATTGCCTCCGCTTGGCTCCCCGCCGGGCACGTGCTCGAGCCGAGCGACCCATATATCAACGTACCAACACTCGGACTTCGGCATGCTCAGAAAACAAAAGCACAATAGGTCACCTATGACTGTTTCAACATTACATTCAAGTGGTTGGTTTGTGGTGTTGCATCCTAGCTTATTTTTTATTTTATACCAGAATTATTGTACAAAATGATTAATTCATTTCGTTTGGGGACATATTCTTCAAACCTACCCAGGTAGATCCTTTCTTATTTTTGATCAAACTTTTAAGTATTTGAAATACTGTAATCCTAATCAAATATGCCTGTTGCCAACTAATGAAATTTCATGGTAAATTCTGAAAGGTCAAACCTAAATAAGTTGGTTTTTCATTCCTTCACGCAACTTATATCCCCGAGATTATCTCCAGAAGCATACACGATCTGTTCGTTATAGTGAACAGAGCTATTATTTATCCACGCTATTATTTATCCACTAGACGAAATGGCTATTTGCGGTGGCATAAATCAGTAGCGGAAGAAGCTTTCGTAATGTGAGCCCTGAATCCTGAAATGAGTACGCCAAAGAAACTTTCGTACGAGTTACATTATTTTTATTACAAATTTATAGAAACGTTTAAACTCTGAAGATCATTCTGAAAATAATATCGACATATGTATTGATTCATTTCCCACCGCCCGAGAGTTTTGCTTACTTTTGAAACGTCGTAATACTTTGCTCGGGCGGACACGCGCAAGGCGTGCGGCCGGTGACGGGTAGCGGTTTGTCTACTTGCGCCAGGCTGGCGGCAAGCAGATCTCCTGGAACTCTTTGGAGGGAGCGGGCCGAGGGAGTGTTCTTGGAACGCGAGTGTCAGATTGCGCGTGGAGGCTGATGTGTGATGGAATGCAGCTGGCCGGCGGGCCCCATTATGCACCCGGCCCCAAAACGCCGTGACGAGATGAGGCGGTCCGCGAGGTTCCGGCGTGGGAGGCACTGTCACGCGATTCCCTGCGATATGGGCCAGAGGAGGAAACTGAAAGGGATATTCGGGTTTGAGACGAATCTCGGTGTAGATACAGTATGTGGTCAAAAGTATCGAAACACGTAGCTGAAAATGACTTCCGAGTTCCCATGGCGCCATTCGTCGGTAATTCTGGAATTCAATAGG